TTGTAACCTTCGCTGAACTAGTTCCAATTTCTCTAAATTTCTTGAAATGCTGAGTCTAGAAATAGACTTAGCACTTGAGTTGGGTCCTGACAAATGCAGAGTAAAGTGAAAGACTTAGAATAACTTTATTGTTACCTTGAATGTACACAAATTGGCATACATTAAAATGACATTTTGTTGCATACAGCTCTCAAAGTGTATATCTCCAATATACACTACATAAACATAACCAAATAGATAAATAAAAAATGATGCATATACCCACATATATGACATGGAGAAACAATACAGTCTAGTTCAGATGTATAAATGTACATGGCGAGAGAAACAAATCATGCAAGTTTATCAGATGGATGGCATAGGGTACAAAACTATTACAGAATCTGGCAGTTTTGCTAGAAATACTTTAAAACCTCCTCCCAGAGGAGAGCAACAGAAACAGGCCGTGAAGTGGGTGTTTGGGGTCTCTAACAATGCTTTCAGCTCTAGCCTGCATCCTGAATAACAGGATTCTCGGCTGTCCTTACCACTCTCTGAATGGACTTTCTTTCTGAAGTACTGCAGCCACCAGTGATGCAGTTTATTAAAATGCTCTTAATCGTGCCTTTGTAAAAAGTGGCCAGGACAGAAAGAGAAAGATGTGATCTCTTCATCCGACGCAGGAAATGCAGACACTGGTTTGTACACTTCACTAAGGATGACATGTGGAGACCAGTTCAGATTATTACTTACTTATCTGCACCCCCAGATACTTAATACTGTTAACGACCTCTACAGCTGCATCCTTGATACTGTGTGGAATGTGATCATGCTGGCTCTAAAAACTACAATGATTTCCTTTGTTTTATTAACATTTAGAACCGGGTTACTTTTATTGCACCAGTCCACCAGAACCTTCACCTCTTCCCTATAAGCATCTTCATTGTCGTCCCAGATAAGAGCCACCACTGCCATGCCATACGCATACTTCACAATATGATTTGTAACAGATTTGGCATAGCAGTCGTGGGTCATCAAGGTGAATACTAGCAGACTCAAGACATAGCTCTGTGGGGAACTTGTACTCAAGGAGATGGAGTTGGAAACTTTTCTTCCAACTCGCACAAATTGGGGCCTCTCAATAAGGAAATCCAGTATCCAATTACATAAAAGAGTATTAAAACCTAATAGGGCCAGTTTGTTCACCAAATGCTGAGGAATGATTGTGTTGAACGCTGAACTAAAATCAACAAATAGCATTTGCACATGAGTATTCTCCTCCAGGTGTGCCAAACTAAGATGAAGCCCATAGGAAAATGCATCATCTATAGAGCAGTTCTTTGGATAGGCAAACTAATGAGTCAAATGTAGGGGAAAGGCATGAAACCAATCTCTCAAAACACTTCATCGTAATGGAAGTGAGTGTAACTGGACGGTAATCATTAAGCTATGTGATGATAGTTTTTGGGGGCACTGGTACAATGATGGCAGTCTTAAAACACGATGGAACCATGGCCTGATGCAACAAGAGGTTGAAGATGTCTGTGAAAACAGTGGCCAGCTAGCTGATCAGCACACTCCTTAAGTATTCGCCCAGGGATATTATCAGGACCAGCAGTTTTCTGAGTATTGACTTTCCGCAGGACCTTCTGACCTGAGTGCCTGCTCATCAGGGAGGGGAACTATAAAGTCTCAGGTACAGTACTGGAAATTATACGATGAATTTAGATTAATTTAAACAACATGAAATTGAGGGAACACTCATTTTAGTTTTATTCTCCATTCAGGATATAAAATCTGGAACTGAACAGAAAAATCTTATTCTCAAGGGGTGATCTTGATAAGATCCAGAAATCTTCTTACATGATACCTTCTGCTTATTGCCAGGCTTCAATGCATAAATAAATTTTTAAAAAAACTGTTACTGAAATTAGAAATGGCAACAAATTTAATAATGCTACCCCATATTCCAGTGTCTTCTGTAATGCAACTTATCCCAGGATAGAAAGATAGAATCATAGGGCTGGAAGGGACCTTGGAGATCTTCTAGTCCAACCCACAGCCAAGCCAGGAGACCTTACACTATAAATGATTTCATATAAGTGATAATGTAATGCCAAAGTTTGTTAACCTATTTCAATGGATTTTTTTGTCAAAAGACGGCTTTCTCATTTTACCCCACTCAACCAAATGTAAAATATCACAGGACAGATCAGAATGAAGAAGCAACCTCTTCTACTCAGCATTATGCCACTGGCATCATAAAGAGAAGTGCTGCCTGGAATTAGAGATTGGTTTCAAAGCATTAGCATTCAGTCCCTAAATTCTTTGCAGCTACTGCAATTCTATCATTAAAGAAACAGGTAATTTGATGCTTTGTGTCACGCAGTCAAATGCAAGAGGGGAACACAGTAGTAATATTGAAAAGCAGAAAAAGAGCTAGGAAGCACTCGGAAATGCATTACGTTGTTTTCCATGAGTAGCTTGTTGTAATTCTGGTCACATTGTTTATAGGGCTATAATAATTCAGTCCTCTGCAGAATTTGAGGAACTGAATGTAGTTTCATAATGTTTTTGTTTGGTGTTTTGTTTCAGCATAACAAAATAATAAGATTTAAAATAAAATAGCATTTGGGAGAAACAACATGAGCACAAGCAGTTTTTAAAAAGCAAATATTTTGGATAAAAACATTGAAGCACTAAAGTAGTTTAGAAAATACAGTTCTTTACAAGAAAGAACTTGAGGGCAACAAGTAAGCAGTTTTGGAATTTAAACAAATGAAGATAAAATATTTCATTGGTTGTTAAGTTGATGATTCTCCAGCAGCCACTTAAATCTCAAGAGTATTGTGCTTTCTTATGATGCTTTCAAATGAACCATGATGGCGCCGTGGTTAGAGTGCAAGTACTGCAGGCTACTTAGGCTGCCTGCTGGCTGCCTGTAATTTGGCAGATTAAATCTCACGAGGTTCAAGGTTGACTCAGCCTTCCATTCTTCCAAGGTGGATAAAATGAGGAGCCAGATTGTTGGGGGCAATGTGCTGACTCTGTAAACCGCTTAGAGAGGGCTGTAAAGCACTGTAAAGTGGCATATAAGTCTAAGTGCTATTGCTATTTAGCCCCTTCTAAAAGAGACGGGGGGAAACTCGCATTGCAGGAAAAAGGAAGAGCAAAGGTGGGTATTTCTATAATAAACATTGTAAAACTTTTTAGAAGTTCTAAAGATAACCTCTAAAAGACTTCTAATTTTTTAAAGAGATTTTTTTTTAAAGAGTTTCAAAACATCAAAAAGTAATAACACACTTTTATTGTGCTTAGAGTCTGTTGACTCCTTAGAGTCTGTTGACTGTCTGCCGAGTGTCTCTTCAGTTTTTTACATGTTGCAAAAACCATGGCAATATTTCTTCTGTCTCCACAAGCTATGCAGGGAGGGAGCAAAAAGAGATTTTCCAAGCTACAAAAGGCAGGCAGAAATGGGCTATCAAGGCAGTATCATACTTTGACTAGATCAAAACATGGAAGAGGCATAAACCTAGGCAAAATCAGGTAGAAGCCACAGCAACATCCAAAGATTCAGGGCAGGATTGCTAGATGTTCCTAACACTGTGTCACACCTAAGTATTAAGATTCATAGTGCAGTTTCCAAGTATTCATCCACCTGATCTTTGTAGTTGCCCAAGAGACTATCTGGTTTACTTAAGGAGCATTGACTTTCCCCCCACAGTCTTGGGCTTTTCTTCCTCTCAGCCTTCAGATTCTCAACCCAATGTCACCATGGATTTGAGGTGGTGCTTTGAGGAGTCCACACTAGAATCTTGGGTATCCTATTAACAGATGCCACTCCTAATGGATCAGAATTCATGATTCTGGTTGGATTCCTCCTCCTTCCTGGTGACTTATGTTCTTCTTTTTTCTTTTTTTCTTTTGGAGAGAGGAATTAGAAAACACATACACTTGACACACACTCTCTCTCTCCTCTTATTGCTATTCTTGTCTATCAGTCACCTATATCATGGCAAGTGAATGGATGCTGACTGTACAATTTTAAGATGCATTACAGAATGATGGCATATTTATATGTGTACTACATCTATATCTATAAGTTGTTCAATAGTTGTAACCCAGTTGGTGTTGTCTGGACTCAGAAGCTCAACATCAACACACCTAGTTTTAGAAGTGAAAAACATCCCAGAAGACAATCACTAACTTGTTTTATCTTCTTAGCAAGATAATTGCATGGACATGATTTTGAAGTCATTAGGAATCAAGCATGAAGATATTTGACTAAATGCAATTGTAACTTTTAGGGCAATTCTACTCTACATTTCCTCTCCATTGCTCCATTGATTGATTTTATTGGCTGCCCATCTTACCACAGGGTAACTCTAAAATAAGCAGTGATTTCTGACTGCTTTCCCTTTCACTGATGTTGAAATATGCAAAATAGACAAAGACCATTTTGAGCAAATCACTGCCCTCTCTCCAGCTCACCAATAGAATGTGCAATGTAATTCACAATTCCCTGTCTTGTGAAACTTCTTGCAAATCCTGTTGCAATAAAAGTCCTCTTATTCTCCACTGATGCACAGGAAATAAAACAAATTGTTAATATTCATGTATGTTTACAGAGTATAATGTATGCTTTCGTTTATTTCCAAAGGAAAAAAGTTCTTACTACAAAGAGACATATATGAAATAGTGAGGCCACAATTAATATAATACAATGTTGCCCAAATTTCCAAGTAGAATATGTTATAGGTGGCCAAATTTTGGGCATTGTGACAGAAATATCATTTGCCAGACTTTCACAAACCCATAGCCATCATGTTGCTGTTCCCTTCCGGTAAGCAACATTATGCAAAGTTAAGGAGCACATATTTAAAACATTTAAAGGAAAGAAAATATTCCTAAAACTAGTTTTTATCCACATTATTTGCTATATATCTCCATACTTTTCTATCTTTACAAACATTTCCTTTTGCCAAGAACTATACAAAGATGAGAAATTAACAGATTATGCAGTCATTTTAAAAAAAATTTATTTAACATTGTCATAATCTCTCTCTATAGCAATCTTTTCGTTTATATTCCTTAACACAAAGCAGCTCTTCTTTTTCACTGAGAATATATTTCTTGGAACTGGAGCATGGAAAGAATTTCATAAATACATGATGAGAAATATATTTGTATCTGCTATGTATTGTTTACGTATGAAAAAAAAAAACTTGAGAAAGAAGTAAAGACCAATCTGATATAAAGGGAAGGGCCTAGATTCATGGTCTAGAGTACAATATGGATAAAATAACTTGCAAAGAAAAGCTTTAATACAGTAGTCAAGAAGTTTTGGCATAAAGCTTTAGTATAGCAGTTAAATGTTCCCTTAAGCTTCTGGACTTGTATAGGTGATTGCATCTGAAATATCAGGGCTAGTTTGAGCTTTAGCAAAGTTGATGAAAACCTAAAATGAAAAAAAAAACATATTACATGAAATTAAACACATTCTGTTTTTCAGAGAGTTTCTAAATGGATTTCATATACCTACTATAAGTGTGAAATTCATGTTACGGTTGTGAAAATAAAACAGAGGCTTATCAAGAATGAAGAAATCTGCAGGTACTGCTAAGACACCTCTTATATGACAGCTCTTATTTTACCAAATTTGTAACATTCAACCTAAATGAATTTTAGACATTGGGTGGAAAGAATTTCAGACAAAGCCAATTAACTCATTTGCCTCTTGTTAGTATTAATAGCTGATTCCTATGTTAGGGGCTATATTACACCCAGAGATGGAGTGCATATGAAGTTGTATTTCAGCTCTGTCCTCCAAATGACTTTGGAGATTAAGATGAGGGTGCTTTTATTCGGAATTATTTCCCCAGAGATCAAGAGTGTTATTTACTAGGCTTATGGCTAAAATCTACCTTTTCTTCCAAGTCCATGTTCATTAGCAATACTGAATATATTAATATTCAGGTTGTAACGTTTAAAAGTTAATAAGTGTTTTATCTTGTAATAGCAATTTATTAAGATATTGCTATTTTGAAGATTCACTAAAGTGAGATAGAATACTTTAAAAGAAAAACAAATTAATTTGCTTTTTTATAAATTTTCAAGAAAATTTAGAAATGGACTTATAAGGCAGGAAACTTTAGTTATGTTACCATCAGTGTGTGAAATTTGGCATAAAATGCCCAGGAAATCTATAGAATGTCAAAAATGGGATGTCAAAGTATGAAATGCTTAATATTTCACACATTTCCTAGGCATTCTATGTAGTACCAAAAGGCACACTGGCAAAGTATAAAATACTCCCGCTAAAATGCCATTCTATCCTTCCTTGTTACAACAAGTAGGTTGGAATGGAATGGAATAGAATAGAATAGGAAGGGACCATGGAGGTCTTCTAGTCCAGCCTCCTGCTCAAGCAGGAGACCCTATACCATTTCAGATAGGTGGCTGTCTAGTCTTTTCTTAAAACCTCCAGTGATGAAGCACCCACAACTTCTGATGACTAGTTGTTCCACTGATTAATTGTTCTCACTGTTAGGAAGTTTCTCCTTAATTCCAGGTTGCTTCACTCCTTGATTAGTTTCCAACCATTGTTTCTTGTCCTGCCCTCTGGTGCTTTGGAGAATAATTCTCTTCTTTGGGGCAGTCCCTCAAATATTGGAATATTTCTATCAAGTCACCCCACTTCTTTTCTCTAGACTAGCCAAATACAAATCCTGGAACCATTCTTCATACATTTTAATCTCCAGGTCTTTGATCATCTTAGTTGCTCCTTTTTGAACTTTTTCCAAAGCCTCAACATCTTTTTTGTAGTGTGGTGGCCAAAATTGGTTGCAGTATTCCAGGCATGGCCTTACTAAGACTTTATAAAGTGGTACTAATACTTCATGTGATTTTGATTCTATGCCCCTCTTTATATAACCGAGGATTGTCTTAGCTTTTTTACCTGCGACCATACACTGCTGGCTCACATTCAATGATCATCTACTTTGACTCCAAGGTTCCTCTCACACTTAACTGTTTTTGAGCCAGGTCTCATCGAATATGTACTTATATCTTTGATTTTTTTTCCTCCCTAAATGTAAAACTTTTGCTTTCTCTCCATTAAAATTTATTTTTTTAGATAGGGCCCATAGTTCAAGGTTGTCAAGATCTTTTTGGATCCTGAGCTTGTCTTCTGGAGAGTTGGCTATTCCTGCCAGCTTAGTGTCATCTGCAAATTTGATGAGTTCCCCTTCTATTCTCTCATCTAAGTCATTTATGAAGATATTGAAAAGTATGGGGCCTAAGACAGAATCTTGTGGTACCCTGCTGCTTACTTCCCTCCGTGTACATGTAGTACCACTAAGGACTACTCGCTGAGTACAGTTTGTCAGCTTACTAAGAAGTAGGCTGTGGTCTACTTTGTCAAATGCCTTACTGAAATCCAAGTATACTATGTCCACAGATTTCGCTGGTCTGCTAATTCAGTTGCCTTATCAAAGAATGAAATAAGATTGGTTTGGCATGATCTGTTTTTAACAAACCTGTGCTGACTACTAGTTATAACTTTATTTCCTTCTAGTTGTTCGCAGAACTGTTTTTGGATTATCTTTTCCAGGATTTTTCCAGGTATTGATGTAGATTGATTGGTCTCTAGGTTCCTAGCTCAGCTTTTTCTTTCTTTCTTGAAGATGGGAACCACATCAGCTCTTTTTCAATCCTCAGGTACTTCCCTGGTGCTCCAGGATTTTTGAAAGATGTGGTACAATGGTTCTGAGATAGCACTCACCAACTCCTTCAGAACTCTGGGATGTAATCTATCAGGTCCCAGTGATTTATATTTGTCAAGATCACATAGGTGTCTCTTACCATTTTCTTGCTTATTTTAATTTTTATTTTCTACTCTGTCTTTTACAGTAGTCTTTTATTTTTTGAGTAGGTTTGGCTATAGTTTCTTTTTGCATGAAGACTGATGAAAAGAATGAGTTAAGCAGTTCTGCTTTCTCCCTACTGCCTGTTACTTCCTTGCCATCTTCTCTCTTTAGTGGACCAACTGTTTCCTGACTTTTTTCTTATTTTTAATATGTTGAAAGAAACTTTTTAAAATTGTCTTTGGCTTTTGTTGCAAGTTTTTGTTCATTCTGAGCCTTTGCTTTCCTGACTTCATCTTTACAGGTTCTGGCTATCTGCTGATATTCTGCCTTAGCTGTGTGTCCTTCTTTCCATTTTTTTGTACTTGTCCTTTTTGTCTTTCAGTTTATTAGAGAGATCTTTGTGCAGCCATGCTGGTTTCTTCTTGAATTTCTTATTTTTCTTTTTCAGTCGTATTGTGCTAGACAGGGCTTTTATGATCACATTTTTCAAAGTTTCTAACACTTCTTGAGTTGTTTTCCCCTTTAGAATTTTCATCTATGGAATCTTTCCTAGGCTTTTTCTGAGTACTTTGGTCCTTTGTTTTTTTCAGTAAGAAAGTTCTGTACTTCAGTTTGCTTTTCTTCTTTCATTTTCATATACATGTTTTCAATAAAGAGTTAGGGTTAGGCTAATTCTAACCCTGACTCTTTTCATGATTCTCTTTTCATATTTTACCTAAATAGGTCTTAACATTCTGCATAATGCCTAGGTATTATATATAATGCCAAAGAAAGCATATAACATATTAAAATAACACAGGCATTTCATACTTTGCCTAAAAATATCACACTCTATAGATTCCTAGGCATTCTATACAAGTCATGCTTTTCACATATTGCTGGTAACAGTTATTAAGTTATCTTGCCTCAAACTAGGAAAAAAGATCCAATGTCCAAGGAGTTGCAATCCAGAAACATGTGTTTCTTACAGTTTATTTCTATTGCATCAACAAAAAATGAGACAAATTTATTGCTTACCTCTTCCAGAGTTGTTTGACTCACAGAGAAGTGTTTAATTTCAAAAACTGCTTTGTTCATTTCTAGAAGTTGAAATATGTTTGCTACACCTCCGGCAGACACTGGGATATGATATTCCACCATGTTCAGTTGATGGTCCTGTATGAATAAGATTTAATGCAGACAAATGCAGATTTTTAAATCAAATACTGATGTCCATCTGACAACATATTTCCAATTTCCCAAAAAAAACCTATAAAACACACTGTGTACTTTAATTTTATAAACAAATGTGATAACATTTGGCTGATAATATTACCTTGTGAATGTTACAGTTAATTCAGGATGCTATAATTTCTATCAGAGCATTAATCAAGAATAATTTGGCCTCTTTTTAGTTTGTGGCTAGACAATAGGCACTCACATTATTACATTCTCTTCTATGAAAATATTCATTGCACTTTTTTGCACTTTAGCTTAGCCTTAATGATATAGCAATAGCACTTAGACTTATATACTGCTTTATAGTGCTTTACAGTCCTCTCTGGTTTACAGAGTCAGAATATTGCCACCAAGAATCTGGGTCCTCGAATTCTGCTGATTTAAGCGCATGAAAGAATATTCCATCATGTTAGAAATCTCCCTGCAGCCCAAAGAAATGTAACCAGATTTCTAAGTTGTTAATGTGACATTCAGGCATTTCACAGTATAGATACGTAAAAATATGTACCCTTAAGTATGTATTTGGAAAGTTTGTTTGTAAAAATAGAGTCAGCTTCTCAATGTTGTCTGCACTGTTATTCAAATGCATCTTCACAGTGAATCCTTTTCCAAATCTAGAGGAAAATATGAAAAGTATAACTTATTAGATTCAAAGTGTAATAAAAATTCTAGTAATCCCAAGCAGTACTTCTAGAAAACCAAATGAAGCATAATTTCTAGTACAACCAAACGCACATTAAGGATCTGGGTCAGCTTCAAATTTCAGAAGGTTCGAATGTTCTAAATGCTGCAGCATCAGTGGTTTGTATAGGTAGAGTTCCTATCTATGCTATGTCTTATGCTCATCCTTTGATATTTGAATGTGACAAATCTTGCTCTGAATATCTACGTTATGATAAAAAGATGTTATAGAATGCAATAACTTCATTATATCACCTTGGTTCACTTATCCACAAAGCTAAAACATTACTTGTTTGGTAATGTTTGTACCATTTCCTCCCTTAGAGCAAAAATTGCTCTAATACACTTTACTGCTTGCTCAATTAGGTGGCAAAGTAAAAGTTGTCACAAAAGAAATATTTTACCAACCTGCTTTTTATGTGCTGCAATGAACCCAAGCACTGGAAATGTCCATTTACCATGATAGCCAGGCGTGTGCAGAGAGCCTCACATTCTTCCATGCTGAAAACCAAAAGGAATTGCATTTTCAATTCCATTTCAACTAGAATGCCTGATGATTAGAACACATCTTGCTGTTTGCAATCTTCTCAAAAAATTCCCAACTTATATATCGATCAATAACCAGCAAGATGGGACTGACAAGTTTGCAAGATAGGTATACAATCCAGTTATGAGAAGCATTATTTTCTCATGGAGAAGATAGTAAGAATCACATTCCACAAGGTTTGGAAGAAGTATTGGAACTATTTGATAGGCTAATAAAATATTAAAAGGGAAATTCTCTTAGGATGAAAATACCAGAACTGGGTAGATGTTTACCTATAGATGTTTTCTATTAATTTAACAGCAATTACTCAAAATTAGTGGTCTTACTACTCAATAATGGAACCTATTGTCAACCATCCCACTGCATTAAAGAGCAAGAGAAACTCACATGACATTTTTTTTTTCTCCAAGGGTATAACTTTGCTGAAAAGCCATTATGGCTACAGAAGTAGAAAAGCCAGTTGTGACATTTTCATATGCAAACAACATAGGACATTTTTTCCCTCCCCCTGCCACCTGGACCTCCCATTGTCCATTGTCCACCAATCAGTTGCACTTGCTTTATTTTGGAAACAGCCTGTCTGTCTTGGATGTTCCTTGTGGTTTGGGTCTGTCTCATGCCTCCAGGTGGCACACTTGCATTCCAGAGATCCCTCCCAAAACTCCCATACATTCCAATGCCTTCCCTCCACTATTCTGTTACTGTTGTCTGTTTGTGAGCAGGGATGTGTAGCGAGTCAACCATGGCACCTCTTTTCAAGGTAGGTTCCCCTGCCAGATGTGTTTAAGTACAGACTAATCCAAATGGGATCATTTTGGATTCTTGCATAAATAGGGAGTTGGACTCATCTAAATGGTTCATTCTCTGTGATTCTAGTCTCATGCTGCAACTGTTTTTTGAACTTGGCACATTTGGTTTATCACAGTTTTGCCGGGTAGAGTCCATTAAAGAGCAAGGGTACCATACATCTATACTGCACTTGGCCAAACAATGACTCTGCTGTGCATCAGTTATATGGATCTAGGAATGGAGTTGAATGGATTTTAAAGAAAAGAATAGTCTTCCCATCTTCTATTGTGATGAAGATCAATTAGCTAGATCAGATAATGAATTCTTTCTATCCAAAGGCATTAAACAACAAAATATACAACTTCATGATAAAGCTTTTTTGAAGACAAGGGGGCTATTCATTAATTAATTAATGTTAATCTACCACATAGGTTCAATCATATTTTTTTTTACCTTTTTCTGCATGCAATTTTATAAAGACTATCTCTTTGTTCTTTCTGAGGATCCATAGGATCCATTGGATTTCAAAGTTGGAAGGTTCAATTTATTTGGTAGAGACCAGTGGTGGGATTCAAATATTTTTACGACCGGTTCTGTGAGCGTGGCTTGGTGGGCGTGGCAGGGGAAGGATACTGAAAAATCTCCAGTCAGAGGTGGAATTTGCCGGTTCTCTGAACTCCTCAAAATTTCTGCTACCGGTTCTCCAGAACTGATCAGAACCTGTTGAATACCCACCTCTGGTAGAGACATTCTGAGTTCAATTTATTTAGTAGAGACATTCACTCAGAAGAACTGCAGAGTGGGGCAGCCAAGCCTTCCTTCACTTCAGCCTAGCCTTTGGCTTATCCCAGAGAGAAACTTCGTTAAAGCATTTGAGGTCAAGGACTTCAGTCCATTCAATGTTCTGTGATCCCAAGTATGCAGAGGCCTATCAAAATTCTCTGAGTTAGACTCGCCATTACAATTGTAAGGAGATTGATGGATTTTTAAAAAGCTGAACTAATATCCTCAAACACATTGCCTTCTTTGAACTTTTGCACCATAACCTTAAATTGCTTAATTCCCACTTGGAAATGAAGACAGTTGAAGACATTCCTTTCCAGATTTTATTACTTTCTCCACTTTGGCTGCAGTATTCAATGAGTAGTCCTTAATGGTACTACATCAGGGGTGGGATGCTACCAGTTCTGCCCCACAGCTTACCCTCCATGTAGATATAGTACAGGGTGGGATTCAATCAGTGTTTCTGCTGGTACAGTGACTACGTTTTGCTGCGCGTGCGTGTAAAAAATCTTAACCTGTGCCGCCCGGAAAGCTGAAAAGCGTTGTGCGCAGATGCACAACGTTTGAAAAGCCTCTTTTTTCCTGCTTTTTCAACCTCAGCTGTGCCGCACAAAGCAGCTGAGGTTGAAAAAGCAGGAAATAAAGGACAGGTAAGAGCCCGGGCGGGCAGGTGGACCATACAGCAGCAAACACAGAACTGGTTCAATGTCTGCTGCTCTTCAGAGCTACCGGTTCTATAGAGCTGGGCAGAACTGGTAGCATCCCACCCCTGATGTAGTAATTTTGTTGTGACTTTCCTTGGATATTAGTTTCCATAGTAGATATACACATTAAATGTTAAAGAAAGTAGCAATTATTCTAAATATAAGCCATAATATTTATATTGAACTGGGTAATCAGGCATCAAGAAGAGAAAGTTAGCTATTTCATAGGCTATTTATCAAAAGTATACATTTTAAATCTGTTTTCTTGGTAGTCATAGCTTTAAATCATAGCTTTAAATGAGATTTAAAACTATGTATAGCTTTAATGCCATAATCACTAACACTTAATAACATACTTGTGTCTCAGACTTGGCACAAATATGTAAGCTGAAATTGCACAGAAGTTATATTTACTGCAGAATACAGGAGTCAAGTTCTAAATATATGTTAATCTCAGCTTTTAAATCCTAGGCTTTCCTCCTGCCTTTTTAAGTCAATAGCTCTTTGTCCATTGTTTTCCCAGTCTTGAGAGTTAGAGGTGTCTCATTGAGAAATCCTTGAGGTTGAGAAATCCTTGAGAAAAAGAGAAGCTTATAATTACTTGACAAACATTCCAGAGCAGACATGGCATTCAGCAGGTTCTGACTGTTCTGGAGAATGGTAGTGGAAATTTTGAGTAGTTCAAAGAACCAGCAAAGATTTTACAGTATCCTTCCCCTGCCACACCCACCAAGGCATGCCCACAGAACCGGTAGTAAAAAAAATTGAATCCCACCACTGGTCTCTACCAAATAAATTGAACCTTCCAACTTTGAAATCCAATGGATCCTATGGATCTTCAAAAGGAACAAAGAGACAGTCTTTATAAAATTGCATGCAAAAAAAAGGGTGATGAGTATATTTGAGAGTATCCATGTTAAGAGAAACTAAAAAAAAAGATGTATTAGTTTAAAGAAATATTTGGAGTTTTAAAAAGGATGTATATAAGAAGAAGAAAAATATTCTATGAGGAGAATTTGGAGGGAGTAATCTAAATTTAATGGTGAACTTTATGCAAGAGGAAGTTTAAAAAAGATGTATTCGAAAGTTTTGATTAAAGAAAGGTTTTAAAGAAAGGTTTAGTGCTTTAAAATGGATGAAAAAAAGTATTTTTTCCTTTAAGGTTAAAGAATCTGAAAGAATACAGTGAATTTTGTTAATATAAATGGTGATAGTTTACAAAGATTATTAAGTACAAATAAAAATACATATTATTTCCACAGCAAGGAATATAAAGCAGAAATGGTTAAATTGATTGTTTTATTCAAAGAATATATTTAATTATGTTATTCATTTGAATATCACTTCTGGATTTTTTGCTTGTGATGAAAAAAAAGGAAACTCTGATCTTATTTTTACTGATTAGATAGATTTGTTATTATGGTTACTTATATACTAATGGGTAAAAGTAAAAAGTTAAGGCTGGAATATTGTTATCTTGTACCGTACTAAAAAGAGTCAGAAGTCAATTGCTTTTTTTCTTTCTTCCCTTGTAACTCATATTTTCTTTCCCCTTCTCTTTTTCCTTCCCTTAATTTCCTATTTTAATTTTTAGCTGTATTTTATATATTGACACTAAAGTCATTAAATGAGAGAGTTGGTGTTATTGTTAAGTGCTATTGCTATTATGCCTCAAATAACATATTATACCTGTGTGAAGTAAGTATCACTGAACACTGGTTCTGCACTTCCTCCGTGATGATTTTCCATAAATGCCTCTTTGCATTAGGATCCATACCAGAACTTGGCTCATCCTAAAATCAAAACATTTGACAACAAATATTACAAGTTAAGAAAAACATTTTTTTAACATTTGTAAAAGCACTACTAGCTTTCCTGTTAGCTCCTCCCACATTTTTACTGAACATGATTTTAAAGGTTTACAGCATAATTCCCACTATATTATGGTAAACAGTGAAATTCTTCACTTGCTTGTGAATAAGGCCATCTTAGGAAGGCTTCCTATTGAGTAAAGCTTCATTGTTAAGCAACAAAAATGATATTGCACAAAATAAATAAATAAATAACAGTTCTTAGCTAGGAAAGGTGAGCTTCTGATTTAATTATGGATGAGCTGAATCCGTTATATCTGAAATATAACTGGTTATTTTTATATTGATTGAAAACAAAGAAAATAAGAATGAAGTTTCCTCCTTTTCTGAATTCTCCTCAAAAACTCAGGAACCTGTCATTACCCTATTGTAGTTTCAAATACACGTATGGTGCTGTGAGGCTAGAGATCATACCATATATACAAGCACTTGTTATTTATGGGAGTATGTTATAGATATTGTAGTATAACATAAACATAAAAGATAGCAACCAAAGTTGATACTATACTAATATAGACGAACACTATATAGAAGCCTGATGATGGCAGATGAGATTCTGCCGAAACGTTGCTACAACTTTAAAAGCACAACTATAATGACGTGGGAAAATACCCGAACAAAGCTGAATACCATACATATACTAATATACTATATATATACCTTTTTATACTAATCCCTCTGAATATGCTTTGAAAGTTCTCCCCACACACCAGAACAGGTGTGGGAAATGGACAGCATACCAAAGAGAGAAGGAATCCATTATGCCAACAAGCTTATCCGCTGCCTAACAAGTAATAGGATGAAAAATATGTCATGTGCATATTTCTCTTTTATCACTCAGTGTGATGTGTTCCCTATTTAAATATACAGACTGAAAGGAAACAACGTATACTATTAAAATGCAGAATTACTGGATAAAAAATGCTTGTGTGATTTCAGTATTGCTGCAGGCATGGAATACCTATGAGTAAGGTGAGTGATACAGAAAGCCATTTCAAGATATACATCTTGAGATTTTTGTTATATTTTTGCATTTAGTTTGCATTGCCTATCTATTGTTAATGCACCAATGTTTGCTAATCTAAATACTGTGGTTGTCCATAACTTTGATGTGCTCAGGAGAGGGGATTGAAACAACCTGGATGAATGTAGGAGTTTCTAGGAAGGGGTGGGATCCACAATTTCATCTAAATAAGAGCAATCCCTGGAGATTCAACATAGATCTTTGTATTAACCTTGGGTAGTATAGAAGATTCAGGGTTTATATCAAAAACAGCAGTAAAATAATGATGTCAAAAAACCTTAATGGCAAACCTGAAGTCAATGCTAACCATATGAAATTAATATTGCACTTAATATTATAAATGAGATCAGGCTTGAAAGTAAATGTAGTAATACAAATACATAAAAATGGAAAGCTGTGATATATATAAAATATTTGCTGATAGTTTTCAAATAGAGAAATTATGGTCTGATAGCCAGAAAGGAGGCTAAATGCTCCCTAGGAAAGCAATTGCTCCCTAATTCATTACAGAAACTTTCCCCACTGACACTTGGTTCAGGTCCTTTTCTAATTACTGTTCTACTATTATATGGCACCCCTTTCTCATTAATTTATTTACAATATGTTTTTTGACTATGGTAAGTGCTCATTTCCACATTGTTGTCTTGTATGCCAACATAAAACATAGAGTTGCTTTGTGAGATGAGCAATCTCTACATCTGATAAATAAATAAAAATAAAAAAACATTGACAGCATAATTTTGTTTTATTGGCTCAAACTGTGAGATAGGTAGCATATAAATTTGATAAATAAAACTATACTGCTCCCATTACCAGTCTGTATCCTATCTGTATTGCCTCTTTTATAATCCTATTGAATCAAGTTGTCCTGATTGGTGAGCATGCCCTTCATTATAAGTAGTGTGATTGGCTGTATTCTCTGGTTTTGCTCCCATTTTACTATTGGGGACAATAAATTAATATGAGCTCAAGACACAGGAACAAAACAGGGCAGAAATAGCATCAGAGTACAGAGAGGTCCTATTCTATCCTTGTGGAACTACCTAGATTCAATATATTAGAATAACTGTACAAGTAGTTCAGTAGCTAATGGGTCACCACATGATCTGGCTTCTGGAGAATGGGGAGAAGTGACTGAAACCAATCAACAAACAAAAGGTCTTCTTCTACTTGGAGGTCTTCCATTATTATCCAGACCTTGCAATGAGAAAAAGTGAGGCTTCTTATTTGAAGGCTGAAGAGAAACTAGTTTCAAAAATGCTGAGTGAAGGAGTGAAGGTGACAGTTATGGGAAGAACTTGATAACCCTTTTGACAAGAGAGTAAAGTAAAGATAACCCTTTTGACAAGGGAGTAAAGTAACCCACCACAAGTAGGTTCATAATCTACTTGCCTCCAAAATCATGGGTAGCAAAATGTTACAGATTATACACACCTTGCAGTTGTGGTGGAAAATATAAGCTTAATAGTTTATTCTGTAAAACTGCTAAGCAAATGTGGCAACATGTTTATTCAAAATTGTGCAATCTGATATTAGCACAACTGAGAAAGTCCAGAAATATTTCACAAGAAGAGTTCTCCACTCCTCTACTCGTTGTAGAATACCTAATGCCACCAGACTTGAAATTCTAGAACTAGAAAACCTTGAATTACGCCGTCTTCGGTCTGATTTAAGCATGGTATATAAAATCATACATTGCAATGTCCTACCTGTCAATGAATACTTCAGCTTCAACCATAACAACACAAGAGCACACAATAGATACAAACTCAAAGTTAACCGCACCAAACTTGATTGCAGGAAATACGACTTCAGCAATAGAGTGGTCAATGTCTGGAATACTCTACCTGACTCTGTGGTTTCTTCCCCAAACCCCAAAAATGTTAACCTTAGACTGTCTACTATTGACCTCACCCCTTTCCTAAGAGGTCTGTAGGGGGCGTGCATAAGCGCACCAACGTGCCTACCGTCCCTGTCCTATTGTTTCTCTTATTCTTCTTTTATTTTTCTTATATGTACCCATTTCATGTATTCACAACTATGTATACACTTATACTTATTATCTTGTAAACAATTGGCAAATCAAATAAATAAATAAAAATAAATAAATAAATATTGTCAGAACATATGGACTAGATCCATATCTCTCTCGACTATGAAAAGAAAATTTAAAATTAAATCAGAAGCATGGAAATCATGGAAGCATGATTTAATTTAAATGAAATGAAATTAAATTAAACAAAAGGAAACTAAATACTTGCTTATCCCTATAACCTTTGAGTATTAAATAGAGGATACTTTAGAAAATAAAGTAAAAAAGAAAAGAAAACTGTGTTGTAAAGCAAGACTACTTTGCAAGACTATGACACAGAGAATATGAAAAAGCATAATAATTCCTCACAAAATAAAGTTTGTATTTCATACCAATAGCAAAACTGATGGTTTCCCCAGAAGGGCTAGAGCAGTCGATAACTTTCTGTTGGTGCCATAGCTGCACATAGAAGCAATTCTACTTCGGTAAGGCATGAGATTAAGTCGATAAAGAAGGTGAAATACAATCTGTGGGGAAAAGAGATTCAGAAAAATGATCATTCTTCAACATGAATTTATACATTCAGATCAAAATGGCTTCCTGCCTAAGAGACAAATTGAGAATGATCTTAAACACATTGGAATATTATGAAGCACATCCTGGAAAACAAATGGCGTTGATTTTTCTGGATGTGCAGAAAGCATTTGACAATGTAAACTGGCAATTTATGTTGTTACAACTAAAAATTATGGATTTTAGGGAGAGATTTATTAACATGATTAAGGCAATATATAACAAGCAAATGGAAAAGGTTAAGGTTAGGGTTACTGCCTCCGTGGGTCTCTTCGCTACTCCTTTTAGTTATTCTTTTTGGAAATCCGGGCTGGCTGAAGAACGAGAGCCAGCTGTGGCAGAGGTTTTCCTTTGGGCGACCCTCCTCCTCCTTCCCCTCCTTCACCTCTTGTGACCCCCTGGCTGGCTGTGGTGGGGATGGGAGGGTGCGCACACATGGGGAGATGCTCCTCAAGCTGCATTTTGGCACTCGCCAGAGCCTTAGTGCAGGAACAAAATGGCACTTTACCTGCCTTCATGCCATATTGCGCATAAGGCAGCCTTCACCTCCTGCTGCTTCAAGTTGGAGCTTGCGCCCTCCGCGCTCAGCTGAAGAGCTGCGGAGGGGGGAACATGGCTGGAGCTTTAGTGCAGGAGCAAAGCAGCCTTGTACAGCCTCCTTCATGAAGCCTCCTTCATGAAGGAGAAGGAAGGGGAGGAGGGTCAGCCTGGATTTCCAAAAAGAAATAAAAGGAATAGCGAAGAGCCCCAAGGAGAGCTTGCTGGCTTGGCGCAGCCACGGCTTTCAGAGAGAGAGAAAGAGAGAGACAGAGAGAGAGAGAGACAGAGAGAGACAGTGAGAGACATACACACTCTGAGACATAGAGAGAGAGAGGCACAGAAACAGAGATACAGAGAGGGGAAAGAGAGAGACATAGAGATACACACACAGAGAGTGATACACGGAGAGAGAGGGAGAGAGAGGGGAAGATAGGGAGAGGAAGAGAGAGAGATACAAAGAGGGGGGGGGGGGGAGAGGGGGGGAGGAAAGGGGGAGGGGGAAAGAGAAGGGGAGAGAGATATACAGAGAGAGGGGAAGAGAGTGGGAGAGGGACACAGAGGTACAGAGAGGTACAGAGAGATATACAGAGAAGTGGGAGAGAAAGAGACAGAGAGAGAGAAGGGTTTTGTGGCTGGGTAGATGTGGCTAGGGGATCTGGGTGGGAGTGAGTGACATCAAGTTGGCCACGCCCACCCAGGTTT